GCGTCTGGGGTCTTAAAGGCTTGAAGGTAAACAAATGGCCATCAAGCTCAGAAGCAACAAAGCCCACATGGAAGAAGCACACCAGCCTGTGTGATCACAGGTGCCAAAGGGATCAGTTATCAGGCATCAAAGAACAAAAAATCTTATCATTGTGTGCTCACCTTCATGATAGGATCGCTGAAGACAAATGGGCGCATAAACAAAGTAGCGAAGAAAGCTGATGGTGCCCAGCTATCAAGAGATAACAGCATCTGGAGTCCTAAAGGCGTGAAGGTAAACAAGCGGCCATCTAGCTCAGAAGCAACAATGCCCACATGGAAGAAGCACACCAGCCTGTGATCACGAGGTACCAAAGGGATCAGGTATCAAGCATCATCAGAACAAAAAAAAGTCATCATAGTGAATGAGGGGGGTAGTGCAGAGTGGAGACCCAAAGCCCATTTGTAGGTCACTGGACATCACCTTACAGAAGGGTCTCGGGGAGGAGATGAGCCAGTCAGGGTGCTTCTACACAACAGGCCAAGACCCCAAGAAGGGTTGATTTTGTTGGTCTAGACCACCCCCGGGCCTCAGAGCTGCATGTCATCCATGGTGGTTCCAGGCATCATCTCTGGATCTGGTGCTGGCCTGCGGGGTCCACATTTCGGATCTGCCACTGCCTACCCATGGCCACAGAGAAGTCTGATGTTCTCTTTCTGTAAAACGGGCTTAACAGCAGGACTTGGACTTCAAATTGTTGTTACACAGATTAAAAGGAATTCCATCTCAAAGCGCTTGGCTCCCACTTGGCATATGAAAATCCATTGCCAGCAAGTCTGTTGTGACTCATAGTGGCTCTTTAAGACAGAGGAGAGCTGTTCCATGGAGTGTCCAGGACTGCAATACCTGGCACAAGCAGGCCGCCATGGTTCCCCTTCCTGGTGATTTTCGCCCACAGACCTTCTGGTTAGCAGTGGGTGCTTGAACCACTGCACCACCAGAGCCCCTGGGAGGTCTTCAATAAAAGCCGTGTTATGCATGCTGTCCTATGCAGCATTTCCCCTTTTCCCTTGGATTTTGTAAATGGGTCTCTAATGAAGTTTTATGAGCTCAAACTGGTCTTACCCCCTTTAAGAGAATATGAAAGGGTGATGTTTCAGGGCACACCTATGCAAATAAATGCCACCTTTTTAACAATTCAGAGAGTCTGTGTATGCAGCGGGAAATGAGTTATGTATGTAGGTGGGTGGGGGGAACCTCCCAAACATTTATCGGCTGATGTTTAAAAACGCAAAACAGAACATCTTCAGATGTTTATATTCTCCACCCTTTGCCTCCCAGGAACTCCTCACCATCCTTCAAGGCTGTAACTCGCCTCCTTCCCCTTCAACGCTCCCCCACCCCCAATTTCCCTGCAATTCACCTTTAATATGCAATTAGGTTCCTCAATTTAAAACCATATTAAGGTGATGGGCTCTAAAGTACAACTAGGCTTATTTTAAACTGCAGCCAAGAAGCTGAAGTACTATGAAAAATCAAGAATGGTACAGCTTCACGATTAGACTGTAGCGCAGACCAAAATAGACCAGCACTGGGCTCCTTACCCTGCCACCGACTATAATTAGCTTGTCTGCAGCCAGAAGGGAGAAAAAAAATTACACCACCCCTTCAGGTGCTCACAGAACAGCCTGTTTTTGTCCCTTCACAGACCTTTGTCACAGCTAAGTCCTCAAGGATGTTCCTGGGATTCCTTAAATCCTATCCGCCCACGTCCCGCACACCCGCCCCTGGATGAATGCTGTCATCGTGACCATGTACAGCGAGGTACCAGAGATCACAGATCTTCCTCTGGGAAGGAGTTCTCTCTCCCCAGCCTTTTCCCAACCCCACCTGCTTAAGGAATGCCATTTGGACCTGACCAGCAGGTGTCCTGGGGAACAAGGAATGGGCGCCCCACCTACTCCTGCCCCAGGAACTCAGGCACGCAAAGGAGGCCCCTGGAACCACCACGTATAACAACAAAAACACCCCCCCCCCAAAAAAAAAACAACCTCAACGTACTTTCTTTGCTGTCGATATCCTGATATGTCTAGAAGCGTTTTCCGAGGGAAAGACCGAAAGAGCTTCTGCACCTGCTGTTTCCATGACAACAATCTCTTTTTCTGCGTCTCTGTAAATGCCTGCAAAAACAAACAGGATGTTTAAACGGGTGACGCAGCCTGGCATTAGGGGGAGAAACATGCAATTAATGTGGGAAAACACTTGAGGATCTGCCGGTGCCTTTTCTTCACCTGGCTCCAACCTGGTCCAACCGAGTCAGGCTGGTTTCAGAGCCGCCTGGATAGAAAATTCAAGGTATTTGGCACCGGAGGAACCTGGTGAGGTGCACGCAGTAAGTTCTGACGAGCCTCATTTTTGGGGGGGCGGGGGCGGGTTGGGCTTTAGGCAGCTCCCACCTCCTCACTCCTTCCTGACCACTCTGGCCTCTCTTTATCAACGAAGAATGAATTGTGAGATTGATTGTTGGCCGCTCCAGCCTCTGCAGGCCCCCTGCCTCTTCCTAATCAATGTGAACACTAAACCGCTTCAGCAATCAATCAGCTTGAGGGTGTGTGGTCGCCCAGGAGTGGTTTGCAGGGCTGGAGGGGATGGAGTCTGCTCTCTGAGGTTCAGGGCCCGGCTGAGACCTCTCTAGGCCTCGGTGGCTGGCCCACAGCTTGTCTAAGTGCAGTAAGATGTACAAGTCTTTCCTAATCACAATGAGTGGAAGTTTTGCCCGAGTCCCAAACGCAGTGCTCTCGAGGTGACTCAGAATAGAATGGCCCCAGAGGGTTTCCAAGGCTGCCACCCCTTTTTCCCATGGAGTGCCTGGTGGCTTTGAAACACTCGCCTGTGGCTGACAGCTGAGCGCTTCACCACTGCGCCATCAGGGCTTCGCCTGTTTTGCCTGCTGTCCCCAAGTCTGCTCTCTTCTGAAGTGGGTGCTCCTCTGTGCTCCCCTCAGTCAAGGGGAGGAGTCCTCGGCACACACGGCAGTAGCAATGGGCTCAGGCATGGCAGCAGCCACCATGGAGCCCGGACAGGGCACCAGTTCATTCTGTTGGACCTGGTGGCCAGGTATGGAGTCGCCTCATGGTCACTACCCAGAGAGAGCACTCTGAGGCAGGCCGTGGTGACTACATGTACAGTGAACTGCAGCCTAAGTGGTGTGGGTGAAGGGTCTTTTTCTTTCTTTTTAACACAGAAGGCTGATAGGTTGTGAGCTTTTCAGACACTGCTCTTAGAAGCTGTAACCAAGTGTCCTCGGAGACAATACACCAGCCCCTTGGTGTTCACCTCACCTGGGTGTGAGAACCACCTTTCGCCCCAGACAATGGCATGAAACTAAAGGTTTTAAGCCTCAAGATTACTGCTCGCCAGCCCAAAGGGCAATGGGCCCGATTTCTCAAATGTCAAAGGAGAAAGGGTTCACTTTTTAGATGTGCATTGAAAGTGCTTCTAAGGACACCATTTGGTCACTCACGGTGGCAGAGAGCATCCAAGAAGATGGAAATAATGTTTGCACTAAGAAAGAGGTACCGGGAGAGGTCAGCTCATTCGCTGGGGGCATCTGGCTCACTGAATCCAGGGCTGTGGACAGGAGCAGGCCCTCAGCAGGGCTGCGGGGCATGATGGCCCACTCCTCTCGGTCTCAGAATCTGTTCCTGGGTCACAGCTGGCTCCCAGTGACCTCCGGAAGCTGGTTGCTGAGGTCGGAGCTCCCTACATGGCTGGGGTGCCTGATACGTCACCTTCGCCCCTCTGTCCTGGCAACTCTGGGTTGGTTCTGGGACAGAGCTGAGAGAGTGGAGCTTCCTGGGGGGTGGCTGGAAGAGAAAGATTCCACATCCACAGATGGCCCGGACACGGCCAGTCAGCCACTTCGCAATCACTCTGTCTCTGTCAGGCCCAGACCCATACGTCTGTCTTGAAGGAGATCGCGAAGATTTGTGCTAAACTGTTCAATGGCTGGATTAAAAAGGCAGGCGTATAACGAGCTCATCTTCGCAGAACCACCTCAGGACAGTACCCTCCCTCCCAGGCACTGAACATCAGCGTGTCCGGTATGTGAAAGGGGGCCTGTCTCGCCCAGACCGGGCCAGTATGCCGACAGAGTGCTGCCCACAGAGGCCGACCTGGGGCGGTGGGAAACGAGCCAGACACTTTGCTCTTCCTCAGAGGGAAACCATAACAGGAAACGGCGCACACGTTTCCCCTTCCCAAGCAGAGCACAGAGCCCTCCATGCTAGCATGAATCCAGTCAGGCCGACGTGGAGGGACCGCCTTCCTGCCCCTGACTCCCAGCAGGGAGAGGCTCCTCTTCCGCTCCCAGGGGTCTCTTGACAGCAGGAGCTCTGGCCAGGCAGCCAACAAGAACCTCACAGTGCCATGTTTGAAGCGACTGGCTTGAGGCCTTCCGGGAAGTACAGAGGAAAGACATCAAAACAGGAGCGAGAGCAAGCAAGATGGAGGGACGTGGGCAGCACCCTGCCCACGATGCAGGGGGCGATCCACCAGGAAGCTTATGCACTGTTCCCCAGAGGCCGCTGAAGGGGTCCTGGTTTGCAGGTGGAAAATACCTCGTTCCCCAATACCTCGAGCGAAGCGTGGGAGAGAAGCACATTCTGGCTTCTCGCTCAAAAGCGTACATCATTCCCCTGCCAAGCTACCCACAACGGCTCTCCTTTTCAACACAGCACAAAGCCCTCCACGCTTCTGGGCCCCCCTGGAACATTCTCCTGCCTCTTTCCCTAGCCTGCCTTTACCACCTTGTGGTCTGCATGAACTGGTCTCTCGGGGAGACGATCGGTTCTCTGAGGCCATCCCTTGTTTCTGACTCGGGGCTGCAAGCTGGAAGGACCTCCCAGAACCCTCACTGCTCTGCTACCATCACCCAGCCCCTCTTGCTGCACGCAGCCCGGGGCAGGGATGGCATGCTCAGTGGCCACCGGTGATGAACGGGCTCTCCAGTCCTGACATGCGTCCTCGCCTTCTCTGCTTCCTCTAGTTTCGTTATGGGCAGAAAACAAAGTACAGTGTCAGGACTGGAAATTGGAGAGGATGACTCAGCCAGCCCTTGGGGGAAAGGGTGTAGTCAGGTGGTGACAAGTCAGCCATTCGAGGGGCCTCGTCCCTTCCCAAAGCAGCACACAAATAAGCCTTCAGCAGGCTTCAGCCACCATCACGTATCCGGCTGCTCTGGGGAAACCAAGAAGGGGGGCGGAATTACATATAAAAAATGTGTTTCTTTTCCGGTGAAAACATCCAATACCTTGGAATACTCGAGTGTTTCTGAGGGAGGCGTGTCTGCTCCCAAATGAGCCGCCGGAGCAGCCTGGACCGGGGTGACTGGGGGATAAGAACTCACTCAGAGAGGACACTGCGAACTGGGCGTGGGGGCGGGGTGGGGAGGAAGGCCATGTTGGGATGAAATCCACAGGGGGACTGGACCCCTTTAGGGGAGGGCTGGGCGGTATCAGACCATTAAAATGACAGAGGGCTCATCAAAAGGAAAGAGCCTCCCATAGCAGGAGTGGCTGGAGGGTCAGGGGCGTAGGAGGGGGAACAGGCTGTCCCTGCACAGGACATGTATTTTACCGGGCCCACTGGACTCTCAGGTCCTGGCTGCCGACAGGTTTCACCAATATGGCAGAGGGGAAGAGGTGTGGGGTCATTACTAACCTGTTCCTGCACCAAACTCCTGCAGGAGGAGCTAGCATCACCCCAGGTTTACTCAGTCCCAAGTTGTCCCACGTCTCTAGTCTCTAGAAAGCCTCGGGGAGGAGGTGCTCAAGAAGCTACCGGAGTCCTGAACCCGGGGCACAACCCCCTCTCCTCACCTGTCCTCCAGTGGCCGCTCCCCCCCGCCCCCCCCCCATCCCTACTCATAGGACAGATGGCTAATACAATTCCTGTTTAAAAAAAGGGAGAAAGAAAATCACAAGTCCAAACAGAAATACCCCATTGCACTCCCAGCTGGCTCAGGCGGCGAATCGATGATGTCCTCCCTGGCTTCCCCTGCAGCACTGCCTCCCAACAGCCAGCATGCAGAAGCCACCTCAGTGTCCCACACCAGTGACCAGATACACAAAATGCACACACACCCAGCAGAGCCTCACTCAGCGGCAGAGACACACCAAGTTTGCCACATACCTGTGACAATACAGAAGACGCTTGAGGACATTCTGCTGGGTGAAGTAAAACCCAAACAAACACATTTACTACGACTGAGGCTCTTCTGACTCATCGTCACCCCACATGACAGGGTAGGGCTGCCCCTGTGGCTTTTCAAGGCTATACATATTTACGGGAGCCGACGGCTCATTTTTCTCCTGCAGATCGGCTGGTGTCTTTAAACCGTTGACCTGTGGTTAGCAGCCCAGCTTGTAACCCAGTAGGCCACTAGAGCTGCGCAGAGAAATGAGGCAGGCACAAAAGAACATGCGTAGTACAGGCAAACATGGAGCACGTGACGTTCGCCATTGGTTACCAGGGGCTTGAGGGAGTGAAAGGGGAGTCGCTGTTTTGGGAAACAGACGGTGGTGACGGGTACACAGCACGATGAGCACTGAGGCACACATGTAAGACATGTTGACTGCTTTGTCATACGTATTTGATATAAAAAGCCCCCGCGTAAAAGCAGCCGAATCACATATACTGTGTACACACACTCATTATTTCTTTTGTTCCCTCTTTCTTGCCAGTTTCCCAATTTAAAAGATAGAACATCTTAGCACAGAATTATTAAAGCTAAGGAGGTCAGATGACAGGGCTCTGTGCTAACCAGCCCAGACGTGGGCACTCAGGGGCTCTTGCAGAGTTCGAAGCTCCTCTCTGGCATCTGCCCCACACCAGAATTCTCAGTCACGCACGCACGCACGCGGTGTTTGGGGTGCAGGCTGCCATGGCTTGGCTCTGCCGGAGCTGTAATTCATGACCATCCGCTCCTTGAAAACAGGTGCCCGGAGACCGAAATGATCACGTCACAGAAGCTCAGAGACGGTCGCTCTAAGCAATGAAAAAAATAAAAAACCAGCCTTGGCAAACCTGTCGCCACTCACCTCGTGAATCAGACATTTGTCTATGAGCTGTAGGTAGGAGCTTATATTCTCCTCATCCGGCCTGGAGACCAAGAGCTGGGTGCACACTGTGAATCGAAAATAAATGAGAGATGAGTGAGGGGCAGGGGGTGGGAGAAGACCACGCCCATCCTGGCCTCTGAAATCTGCCTCCGATTTCCTTTCAGGACCCAATATTTTGCGAGGCATGCTTGCCTGTGGGGTTCTAGAAGGCTCATTACAAAGGCCTGGAGGCTGCTCATTCCAGGAAGTCCTAGGCGTGGTCACCACTGGACCCCTCGGCTTGAGAAGCCCCTTCAGTTAATCCCAGTCAGAGGGAGGACTCGCCGCCGCTGGGAGCAGGGCGTGGGCTTTGTTTGTGAAAGGCACCCCCTTGGAGCAGGGGTGCTGAGGCTTCTCAGCCCCGTCAGCACTCTTTCGTCATTTTATGAACGAACCTCAGCCCGGCGGATCCGTTGGTGTTTGCAGGGACTCTGCAGGCACCTCTCTCAGGATGCGGGGTGTAGGTGTGCACACAAACAGGAATCAAGCCTGAGACCCCATCGCTTGAGCGATTGGGGGGTGGGGGGGTCGATTTTCTCAAATTGATCTGCACATTTATATGTACACACGCTCGTCGACGCCGGAGTGCCCACAGCGCCAGAGCAGCCAGCATGGGGGGGGGGGGGCAGACACATGGACTGGATATCTAACATGCGAGCGTCGCCCTGTCTGCTCCCCTCACCCCCACGGATGTCCATCCGCTCCGACTCACGGTGGCCCGGAGGACAGATTTGAGCAGCAACCTAAGCTTCCCGCCGCTGCCGTCTTGACGGGCGCAGACTGACACAGCGTTCTCCCTCGGTGCGACTGGTGGGCTTAAACAGCTCCCCTGCTGGTCAACAGCGGAGTGCTTAACCCACGTGCCACCAGGCCCCCTTGCTCTAAGCACCCAGGTTGTGGTGCTCTTGACTTTGGGGTGGTGGTTCGTCCACTCTGGGGGAGCAGTCAGAAGGAAATGACTTGTACTCCAGGAGACCAAGCATCGCATGTGATTGCTTCCCCATGGCCCTCGTGTCTCCGAATCCCCATGGTACCACAGCACACTGACCACCCTGCCTGTAAACAGCAAGCTTCCGCCAGGCCCCTTCCAGGGCCATTCCCCAGAGCCCTGTCCCGGAAGCTATGGTTTATGCCCACGGGGAAGAGCGTGCTGCCTTTGCAAAGGTGCTGTTCTTTGTAAGGGCAGAAACCGAGCATCCAACGTGGGAGGAAACACAACCATCCGGAAAACCAACCAACCCACCCAGGCTGCGCAAAGGAGTGGAAGGGCCTGTCTGCGTACAAACAGGCGGGTCCAGGTGCTCATAAACGACTGGCCACCTCAGGGAGGATGAAGACAGGGCTGGAAAGGGCTCCGTTTCCCCTTCCCATCTCCTGTCTAGCTTGCATTTTTTATTATCATCATCATCGAGGTGTTCTGTCATTTCTTTGGCGGTAGTTAGGATTTTAAAAGCAGAGTGGCAGGGCACTTGTATCTTATGAGGAGGGTGTGATGCACACTCAGGTAGATACCCCAGCCCCCCACCCCCCTCCTAGCAGAACCGGGTTCTCACACATGCAGGAATCTGTTTGCACCCAACTCAGCCAAGGACCCTCTCTGGCGGGGAGGCGGGAGACGGGGAGAAAAGAACCCATCAAACCACCGAGTTCCTGCATCCTCTTCCTCTCAGGGGAGCTCAGCATCAACGCACCAGCCTTGTCCCCACGAATGTAGGCCTTCTTTAGACAGGCACATTTTCAGCATGACACTCAAGCTCAGGGGCTCATTTCCTGTGCTCTCGGCCAGGCTGCTACGCATGCAAGTGTGGGGTATCCACCACACAAGAGGCTGCAAGCACAGTGTCAGGTGTGGTTTTGTAACCCGCATGGAGGCTTTGAGCCAGCTGCGTAGGTAATGCACAGAGAACGGTGCCCGGAGCACAGTCACCACTCGGTGCACACCAGCTGTTATTTCCGGAGCACTTCCTATGGACTGACCCCGAGGAGAGCCTGTAAACACCAACCCTGGAGAATGCTGGCAGGTGGCTGGCTGCTGCCACGGTGTAGGCTCTTTGCCTAGGGGTCAAAATAGCTATGCCTTTTCCATCAGACACTCGTTTTCTGCCACTTTCAGGAGGAAACTGGCTACTTCGTGGTTTGCATCATTTTTTTTAAAGAGTTCACCCCACTTTCCTCCCTGTGGGTCCAGTGACCAAATGAGCCCCTTAACAGGACTAGAGAGAAGAGTTAAGCAACAGGCCTCTGGGGGTCTGTGACGGGGAAGTTTAAAGCCCATCGAGGGCTAACACTTTCTCTGCTTCCTTCTCTGTACAATGCGGTGACAGCACCTGCCTTGCCAGGTTGTTTCCCCCGCACTCAGGGAGCCTGCAGCTCCACGGGCCCATATTCGAACAGAAGGGGACGTGAGAATCAGGCTCTACCTTTGCCCATGACACGCGTGAACTGTCCGGGGAGATCGCCCTCCGGGAGAGGGGCCACGGCCAGTTCCCCGTCACAGCTGCTCAGCTGGTGAGGCGGGAGGCCGCCGCTGGCCCCGGCTGAGGTGGTGGCCGTGGCGCCGGGCCCCCCAGCACTGTCCTTGCAGTCAGGGCTCTGGCTCTCAGGGCCCATCAGTGAAGGCTGGTGGGGGCCCTGGGGCTCATGGCGACGGGCCTCTGGGGTGGTGCTCGGGGAGCCGTAGGCCTTGATGGGCGTCAGGATCATCTGGTGCAGCTCCTGGAGTGGGAGGCGCAGGTTGCCCCCCTCGATGATGTCCTGCACAGTCAGAGGAAGAAGACATCCATTAGGGTCTGGCAACTGAGCCACCAGGCTCCCTCCCTCTCCCCGACCCCGAGCTGGCCCTCAAGACGGGATTCAGGGCGGCTGGGCCCCTGAGCAGAGCATTCTCCGGGAAGGACGCCATCGGTTTTCATTGTTCTAATAGTAACCCAAGTCCAAGGTAGGGAACCTGGAGTATACAAATAGGCAATCGGGAACATTCCACAGTCTAGAGGGGACTGTTAACAGTGATTTGGGTACATTATTTTTTACTGGCGTCTTCGGAGCATCTCTATAGAACACACTTCCCTATTTTATATGCACTCTCTTTAGATGGTATAGAACAGAGTTGGATCCTTGGGGTGAAGGGGAGATTGGTGACCTGGTACGACTTGTTCTGTATGGAGGAGGACCCTTATACCTTCACTAGCCCACAACAAAGCAGCAGCACAAGGGAGTGATTAAAACAGCGAGGCCGGCTCTGACACCAGGGTTCGTATTCTGGCTCTGTTAGCTGTGTGACAGTAGGGAAGCTATGTAACCTCTCTCTTTCAGTTTCCCAGATGATACAATGAGGCCAGTGATCGTACCTGCCTCATCAGGTGGCTATTCTTGAAACCCCAGGTCAGTACCTGTTGCACACTTCTGTGTTAAATACATTTATATTTGTGGGTGCCGGGCACTAGGGATACTGCTGGGAATGGCCTTTGGGGTCCATCCCAGCCATGAGAGGTGAACATCGAGGCAGGGCTGCCCTGAGGGGGTGACTCTAAAGCAGGAACCCAAGGGAGTGAATAAGCATGGCTTTGAGGCTGCCTGGGAAAGGGCACCCCAGGAAGAGGGTGTGGCACGGGCAGAGGCTCCGTCTGGGCTTCAGTGGTGTCCTCCAGAGACAGATGTTGAAGTCTGGGTGTCTGGACTTCGGGATTGGACCTCATCTGGAAATAGGCTCTTCGAAGATGGCATCAGCAGCGCGAGGACTGCACGGGTGTACACAGCTACATCAGTAGGGTTTCCAAGGCCGTGACTTCGGGAGCACTGCCGGGCCTCTCTCTCCTGGGTGCCCCTGGATGGATTCAGACCGTCAACTTGTTGGTCAGTACCATCTGCACCACCCAGAGACTTTGTCCTAGAGTGGGGCTAGTCCTAATCGAACCGAATACAAGAGCAGGGACACGGAGGAAAGAGGCACATACGCCTGGGAGCCTCTGGGGCTAAGAGGAGTTAGGGGAGAGATGGAAGAGACTCTCCCTCAGAGCGCTCAGAAGGAATCACACTGCTGACACCCTCATCCGGGACTACTAGCCGTCAGAACTGTGAGATAATGAACGTTTCCCTAAGCCACCCAACCAAACCCAAACCAAACTTCCTGCCATTGAGTGGATGCCGACTCAGAGTGGCCCTGTACAACAGCTTAGAACTGCCCCAGTTACGTAATGGGCTGCTAATCACAAGGTTACTAGCCACCAGCCACTCTGAGGATAGAATAGCTTGGCTTTCTACTCCCATAAACGGCTACAGCCTCGGAAACCCACAAGGGTAGTTCTACTCTGTCTTACAGGGTCGCTATGAGTCACCAAGGACTCAATGGTGGTGAGTTTGGTGTTTATTTCTTTTGGAGGGGAGGTGTTTTAACCCTTTACGGGAGTAGAAAACCCTCTCTTTCTCCTTCCGAGTGACTGTGGTTTCAAAGTGCTGATCTTGCAGGAACCACCCAACTTGTAACCATGGCACCGCCAGGACTCCCATAAGCCACTTGGTTTGGGATATTCTGTCATAGCGGCCCAGGAAACTAATACCGACTCTCAGGCGGGAGCACGTCTGGAGTCCGGAGGAACAGTGAGGAGGCCACCGGCAAGGCAGAGCAGAGCAGGTGATGGGAGCTGGTGCTCTTGTTTCCTTTCTGACTCACAGCCACCTTTGTGCAACAGGATCTGACACACACACACACACACACACACACACACACACACGTCATCCTCACAAGCGTTGCTGTTTGAGCTCCTTGTTGCAGTCACTCCATCTCACTCTCAGTCCCTTTCATGGGGAGTCTTCCACATTTTTGCTGGCTTCCACTTCAATCAGTATGCTGGCCTTTCTCTGAGACTGGTCCTTCCTGATACCAAGACCATAGTTAGGTCAAAGGATGAAGTCTCACACCAGCCTTGCTTCCAAGGAGCAAGGCTATACTTCATTCAAAACAGATCTGCTAGTTCTCCTGGTGGTCCATGTAGATTCAACATTCTTCGCCAACTACAGAGCAAATCTTCCTTGCGATTTCAAAGGCATCAGTTCTTTGGTCTTCCTTCTTCCGCATCCAGTTTTCTTATGTGTATGCAACTACTGATACTATCGTGGCTTGAATTAGCTGCAGACCTTTAGATGCCCCTTTAAAGAGATCTTGTGTAGCAGACTTACCCAATGCAATAGACCATTTCATTTCCTGACTGCTGCTTCCCTGGGCATTGCTTGTGGATCCAAGTAAAACGAAATCCTTGACAACGTCAGTGTTTTCTGCAGGTGTGAGAATTGTTTGCTTGTTTTGATGCTGAGGTGTAATCTGACGGAAGACTGCAGTCTTTGATTGTCATGAGGAGGCACTTGACAATGAACCATCTTGCCCAAACGGAGTCCTCGTAGTTCCCAGCATGCAGGGTTGTGTCATCTGTATATTGCATATTGTTAATGAGTCTTCAGGAGGGTCAAGTAAAATGGCCCGAAGACCCACTGGTCAATTCGGGAGACAAATACAAGCCCGGACACCAGAATTCATTGTAATTCAGAGGGGGAATCCAAGGAAGGTTCTGAGCAGTCTGGCTCCAAGTTTGAAAAGGAACATTCTGGCTGCTGTTTAGAGGAAACTACACATCCTTTCACATTGCATAGTGAAGTGGGGTTGTTCCACACACGACAGTTTGATGTAACTGAGTGCCACTTACTAGACAAAGCGGTGCACCTAGGTTCTGATGGGCGCAATTACCCGCCCAGTGCTCACAGAGGTCCAAGGAAGGTCCAGGCACTGGGTGGCTAGCAATGTGATGGGAATGGAGCTGGGCGTCTTCCCTAAGGTGATGGGTGGGCCTTACCCTCTTCCCTAGGGCCAGCCCCCTGTGCTTCAGCATGCAAAGCTTTCCCTGGGGCCCAGGAAAGATGCTGGCAACCAGGCTCTTGATTACTAATGACGTATTTAATCTTCTGAGAGCCCAGAAGAGCAAGGACATCATTTTAAAAGCCTAAAGCATGACGACCCAATCTGTTCCAAGGATCCTCTCTGACCAAGAAGAATTGCATGATGATGTCAGGGGACGCAAGCAGATGGGACACAATCACTCCCGCACCCAAACCTCTCCAACCTGTAGATCAGGAAAGAACACCAGAGGATGGCAACCTGAGACCCACTGCTTCAATTCTGGACAACCGAGGACACCACCGGCCAGGCCCTTTGTTGGCGGGAAGCAGCCCCATGGAAGCACAATGTGAACCGTACTCCTGACTCACTGGCAGCCAGGGTTTATGGAGGGTGAGCGGTTCCCGGTAGTCTCCTGACTCATTTCAAACCTGGCCTACGGTGTGGGAGAGAGTCCCTCCCAACGCCCCATTGGAAGACGAGAGCTCCAGAGTTTGTCACCTCCCCTCTAACCATGGTGACTATGGCCAGGGTGAGCCCGGGCAGCAGCTGTGCCGACAAGTTTCGTGCATGCGGTGGGCGTGCTACTAACCAGTCTGTTTGCCAGACTGGACCGGCTCTTTCCCAGAGTCTGGATGACACCACGTGATTGCTTTCTTGGCGTTGGACCTAGTGGTGGGTCAGGACGGGGCCTATGGAGGGGAGCTGGTGGGTTCACTGTGCTGATGGGGGGCCCTGACCCCACCTGGGCTGTGGGGGGCTACTGACCTTCTTGTCCAGTCCATGATGACGGATGGAAGGGGAAGGGGGAGGGCTTCCCACCAAAGGGGGACTGGGCAAGCAGAGCCAGGCAGGCCTATCTGTAACAATCACATGTATCCCTGACACATGAGCAATGTGGAAGTTACTACGGAGGTGAGCAAATGAATGTGCGTGATGCTCTGGCCACTGCTGCCAACCCAAGCCTGCCCTGGCCCGGCAGGAAAAGGCTTTCTGTAATTACTGAGTGGAGGGGGAAGGAGACATGAGTTATGCTAAGAGCTGAATCCCCCATGTTGAACCCCTGTTCTATTGGGAATAGAAAATAATCTATAACCCTCGTAACTTATGTTGAGACGCTTTATGGAAAATACGGCTTCCCAGGAATCATGCAGACGCCCTACTCTCCCTACACCCTTGAAGCCATGGTCTCAGGGAGAAAGTCTTTGGCTTTCGATCATTAGGGACACCCAGCCCTGTTTGCTTATGGGAGCATCAATGGGGCGGCGCTATGACCCTCGGACGCAAGCTACGTTCCCGACTCTTAAACATGAAATCCAGAACTCAGCAATGAGCATGCAAGCTGACTAAGAAGCTACAAAATGAGTGGAACTGAACTCAACTTAGTGCCCCCCACTAGCCAAGGGAACTAATTCTTCATGTTAATATAAATACGGAACCAAGCCAAGACCACATTGATCCTCATACCACCTTACAGACACAGAGAGGCAAAATGAAGCTGCCCACTGACAAATGTGCACCGCCACGGCTCTCACTAAAAAGCAGAAAAGGTGAGAGCTGGCCCACTGCTTCCTAGAGACCGCTCGTCTCTGGTAGATGAGACAAGCAGGAAGACTTCCTAGTTCGGTTTTCCGAGGACTTGGATGAGATCTGGCTCGGTGCCTTCCTCAGGGCGGGTTAACGATAAGGTACAGGTCATCTGAAAAACAGAGCTTGCCATCTGGGTGTTCTCCGCCCTTACCCAGTGTGCCCACAGCGCCACCCTGCCCTGCATATAGGGAGAATGTAGGCTTCTCACTCACATGAGAGACAGGACTTCCTTCACTATGTAAACCCATGCCCTCGCTTCTTCCATTCATTAACACCAGCT